GGGCTGGGGATGCGAACCCGCCACCTTAGGTGTATGTGGCTGGCACCTTAGCCGCTTGAGCCACAGGCGCCGAGCCAATAAATTCTTAAAAAATATTGTATTTCAGGAAGGAAAATCTTACAGAAAGCTGAGTTGAAATACAATACAGAAAAGTAAAGATGTAGATAAATCTACATCCACACATTGTTTATGAATCCAAATAGATGAACATACACAGTAAATGTAAAGATGCTAGAAATGGTGATTTATGCATATAATTGAAGAACTCTGGAAGGCCAAGGTAGGAGGATCACTTGAGCTGAGGTAGTCAAGGATGCAGTGAGCTATGATCGGCAAGTACCACGGCATTCCAGTCACAGTGATGGAGACCTTCTTTCTTGAAAAAAGACCCCCAGAAACCTTAAAGAAAATTCAGCTAGCTACCTGCTGTTTATAGACATACACATAAACCAAAAGGACAAAGTCATACATCAGGCAAAAACTAACCATAGGAGAGCATGTATAATTATAAAATACCAAAATCAACCCAAAGACACTTTAATTAAAAAGCCTTCTTGGGCAGCGCCTGTGGCTCAAAAGAGGGGTGCTGGCCCAATATGCCAGAGGTGGTGGGTTCAAACACAGCCCCGGTCAGGAAAAAAAAAAAAAAAAAAAGCCTTCTCAATGACTGATAAGGTACATAAATAATTCAATCTACCAGAATAATTTAAACATGAAAACACCTAATATAAAATAACTTAAGGTACTGAAGAACAGGGAAAACTAGACAAGCCAACCATTAGGACAAGATGGGGAACCTGCAGCCTTAAGGCCTTATGTGGTCTTCTAGGTCCTTTTTTTTTTTTTTTTTTTTCTGGTCTTCTAGGTCCTTAAAAGTGAATCCAAATTTTATAAACAAATCCTTTTATGTTATTAATATATTTTTGATCATCTCTTACACATATATTATTTTTTAAATGAATGTATTTCAAATACCAAAGAATAAAACAATTGCAGTGAAATAATCCTCCCAGAATGACAGGCACAATTAGAATAATTAGTAAGCCACAGGGCTAAATTGACCACTGCTATGCTCATGACTTAGTTCTAACTTCCCTTCACCCCCACCTCCACCCCCAGCATCACTGGCTTACTGCTGTGTGAGGCTGGTTGGTGAGACTTATGATAGTGATTTTCAACCAGTGCTGAGAGAGGATCTTTGCTGTGCTGTGAAAAATTTTTAAGTCCATGAATTGAATTATTTTCAGAGGCTTGGCCTGGTGGCTCATGCCTATAATCCTAGCACTCTGGGAGGCCAAGGCAGGTGGACAACCTGAGCTCAGGAGTTCAGGCTACAGTCTGAACAAGAGCAAGACCTCCATCTCTAAAAATAGCTGCACATTGTAGTGGGTGCCTGTAGTTCCAGCTACTTGGGAGGCTGAAGCAAGAGGATCATTTGAGCCCAAGAGTGTGACATTGCTGCAAGCTATGATGCCAGAGCACTCTACCGAGATAAGTGAGACTCTGTCTCCAAAAAAAAAAAAAATTATTTTCAAAAGAAGTTCAAAACACAGT